TCACCAAAATAACCAGAACTAAAAGGGCTTAAGGCATGGCTCAGCAACAGAGCACCTGCCTAGCAAGAGCAAAGCCCTGAGTTCAAAACCCAGTACTATAAAAAAGAAGAGTTTACAATAGAGGAAAAACAGAGAAATAGTACAGTGAACAAATTGTGGTTGATTCATACAATGATATTTAAAATGTAAGGTATGACACTTATTTTCTTTAAATACATAAAAATATTACATAGACAAAAGGCTGGCAGGAAGAAGTGATGCTACTATAATTTTTCCTTTATATATTTCTATGTTTTTTTTGTAATTTTACATGCTGAACTCTTCTTTTAAGGTCAGAAAAACTAAAAATATTATTCTGAAGAAGTACATGCCAATTGATTCAAGGCTTTTAGATGACAAGTCAGAGTAAGGTGAAATAATGCATCAACCTCATTCACTCAGAATCCCTGAAAGATCACGTGCCATGTTAGAGAGTCAGACACTTGGGTCCATTGCTGCAGGTGGTCTTGGAGATCCAGGAAGATTTTACACCTGTATGCTCTGACACAGGAATAGCACCTGTCTCCTGCCTATCATTAAACACAGTGGGGCCACTCTAGGGCCCTTCCCTGCAAAGGGCTCATCCCTCTCACCAACTTGGATCTCAGGATGGGAGAAAAGCAGATTTGGTGGGAGAATACTACCAATTTATGGAACACCATTCAAAATTCTACTGAGTATCTATTTAGAGAACTCAAAATTTGTGCAATACGAAGCAGCAAACTCCATTTCGAGTCAGCATGTGACTCTTGCTACTGTGCTCTATTAACTTGTGCTCCTCACTTCCTTCTTTGTCTCCTTCTCACACTTTCTGTTCTGTCTTTTACAGAGAGGCGTAACTGAACAGTTGGGGTCATATCCCATTCAAATGACCCATCTGTACGTGACCTGCAGCGCGCTATGCCTCTGTAACCACCAGATTCTTTTCCACAGAGCAGTGAATTAGGGAGGATGCACATACATACCCTAAAGGATTTTTGTTCCACTAGAGCCTGTCTTGAATCCATTTATGTATGCTGTCTTCTAAATTCCCTTTTATTCAAATTGTCATCATTTGTTGCTATGAGATATCTCTTCATCCTGGTCTGACACATTTCCATAACGTCGGGTCAACACAGGGGAACGGAACTGGCCATGGGCCTGCAGGAGATCCAAGAAAGAGATTCAGTGGTCCCCTGGGAAAGATGGCCATGCTAGTGATTTGAAATGTGGGCATATTAAAATCATATGAGGAACCTGTTACAAATGAACAGCCCTGGACCCCCATTCATGACCTTATTTTAAAAATATTACTCTAACTTTAACTCTAACTGCCTAATTCAGTGTTTTTAAGATTGGCATCAGACCACCTACATCAGAATTACCTTTTTGCTAAAACTATAGCTGGCTTGCTTTATATGATATACCTGGTATCGTATACCAGCTGCTCTCTACCTTATGATTGTAAGTAAAAATTGTTTAAGTTTAAAATTACTTAAATTGTGTTGTTAATCCATTAATTTAGCAATAACAACAATCTGCAGCTGTACTTTTAAACAGGGGCCCTGCCATACCACACTATCCCCATACATTTCTGAAGTTTTGTCTATTGAATGGCATAGTCAGCTTGCGATTCTTGTCCTTGTCCCCAGAGTCTAAATCAAATGTGTTCTTGTACATTTTCCTGCAGGTATTGTGTGAGTCCACTTGTCATTTTAACTTTTTTCTTAGCTGAATTTCTGGCCTTTAGGTTTTATAGGACTTTATTGCTTTTAGAGGATTTATTTTTAGTCAGCAATAAAAGAGATTTTTTTCTCATCCTTTATTCCTCACCCTTTCTGTTTCTGCCCTCAATTCCCCTCTCCATGACTTCCATCCAGACCCATCTGTTTCTTCTCTTCCTTGGGTCATCTAGTACTATCTTTTAACATCTATGATTCTAAGTATTAATGTATTAGCTAGCAGAGTTTGCATTACTAAGAGTTGTTTTTTAAAGGTGGGCTTCTGTGAAAACATCATTGCGTCCATGAATGCAATGCTCCTATTAAGTTCAAAGCCTGTGCTCGTGACTGGGGTAGGAGACCGTAGTATGCTCATTCTAAACATGATGATAGCCTGCTTAGTGGCTTCCTATATCTAGACTTCATTCTTTTTACTCTCTTGACCCCTACCTCCCCCATTACTCTCCCAGCTGTCTGGTTGGAGTGATCTTTCTTAAGCTCTAACATACATGTTCAGAGTTGTGACACTCTTATTTTCCTGCTGAGATGTATTGGCTGCAGTCCCCCCCAAACATGCAATTCCTGAAGGAAAGTGACTTATTATATCCTCACCCTCCTCTTCCTCAAAACTCCTCTGTTACTTTCTATTATTGAACTTATCACAGCCCGTCTTGTATCTTTTGGATGATCTCTGCTTAACTAAATTATAGCTTTAATAAGAGCCAGGAGCACCTTTGCTTCTTTTGATCTTTACAGAATTTTGTGAAATGTGGTCATTTAGTGATGTTTTTCAACTGAGTTGAATGTTATGCCAAATAGGAACATATATTTTGCCCCAACAGACTTGAGCTTCCAAGAACAGAAAAATGAGGCTGCAAAATGAAGACAGATATTTACAAGCAGAGCGATTGGGTAGGAAAGGTTGGAGAGACTAGCAAGGTATACAAAGAAGTGACAAGAGCCTGGAGCCTGCTTTCAGGACTGGTAGCAAACAACTTTTCTTTTTGGACACAAGGTGGCAGACTGTGTTGACTTCAGTCATCCTTATCAGTCAGCTATGAGATGCTAAAATTTTCTGTCCTATTTTGGAGGCTCATGTGAACCTTACTGACTGAAATGAAGATGTAGATAAAGGGTGGTCCTGACTGCAGAGCACCCTGAGTGCTCGGCTTTTGTGTTTGGACTGGTTTCTCTGCATCTACATTCAAGACCAACGCATTGCACATGTGCAGTGTTTCTACTCTCCCTTAAGTGGATGAAGAAAAGTTGAACCTTGCCAGTGTTTTGAAGACATATCCATGAACCCTCAGGCTTGAAGAGAGGCGATAGAATCTGAGCAAGGAACTGACTTGCAAGTTTTCCACTACATAGACCAGGATAGGTGGCCGTAGATGCTCCCATTGTAATGGTCCAAGGAAGCTTTCACTTTTTGCATTCTCTCATGGTCTTTTTTTTTTTTTTTTACCATCTCAAATGTTTTTCCTATGATCAGACCATTCACATATAAAAGTCCATCATAACCTGAAATACATGTGTCAGGTTTATTTTAATTTATTCACCTGCAGTTTAAATTCTGATATAATTTTCTCCATCTCATTAATTGCTTTCAGGATTTTTTTTGGCTAAAATTTATCTTTTATTTGAAAATCAAAGTAGTAGGATTACATCATTTTATGGAATTTTGATGGCAACGTTGGGTGACATGTGAAGTCTTTCAATGGATACCAAACTCCATTACATCCAGAAGGTGGAAACAAATAAGAGAAAGAAGGTATTCATTGTTTTCATGTTCTACTTAGCATTTTCCCTCCATATGTGTATGTGTGTCACATATGCATACATAATACCTACAAGTGTAGGTATATTTATATACAGATATGTCTCTACAGAATTACATATTAAGTATTTCTATCTATATATATATGCAATATATGGTCATGTTTAGCAACAAAAACTCTGGAACCAGGCTGCCTAGGTACAAGTCCTAGATTACTCGTGAGAATACTTAATTACAGTCTGTGTCTTATCTGTAAAGATACGTGTATAATAGGTAGGCTTTATAGATGGCAACACATACTAACTCTCAGATGGTGTTAGCCGTTGTTATTTGTGTGTGAGGAGAACCTGATCACATTCTATAGGTTATATTGCCACTTTGGTTTAGTGAAAAAGGCCTCAGACTTTTTGAAAGTACCACAGTGTTGTATACTCGTGCTACATACTTACTAAACTCAATAATCTAGGCTCTGCTATCTGGGAGTGTACACTTGAAAAGGCAAGAGGAATAACATAGACCATTCTTTCTCTGGCCTTTCTCCCCTTTCCTTTTCTCCTGACCCTTCTCCTTTAGAAGAACATCAAGGATGGAGACTATATTGGCTAGGAATTCAACTCATCCATCAGCAACAACAAACAAACAGTGCCAAACACTGTTCACAATTATTTTTCTCAGAACAAGGACCCTGGAAAGAGGCAGTAGCTGATGGGGTGGGTTCTGTGGCCTCATAAAAAGTTATAAATGAAGCCAGGCACCAGCAGCTTACGCCTGTAATTCTAGCTACTTGTGAGGCTGAGATGGGGAGGAGTACAGTTCTGAGGCCAGCCTGGGCAAAAAATTCACAAGACTCCCATCTCAACCAATAGATGGGTGTCATCCCAGCATTGGTGGGGAACATAAAATAGAAGGAGTTTGGTTCAGGCCAGCCTGGACAAAAAAGTAAGACTCTATTTCAAAAATAACCAGAGGAAAAAAGGCTCAAGGTGTGTCTCAAATGGTAGAGAGCCTGCCTAGCAAGTCAGAATTCCTGGGTTCAAACCTTAGTACCACCAAAAGTTACAAACGTGCAACAGAGGAAAGAACCCAGAAAGATATAAAACAGGCAAAGCTGGCATGGGTAGAGTGCGATGGGGACACTCAGGCTGTACCCAACAGATGCAGTTTACACCACTGCAGAACTAATCTTGTCACCTCTGCAATGAAGTACCATAGGCAACAGAGTTTACTATAGGCCATTTAATTGTACATTGTCACAGAGAAATATTGTTATTTTCACATCTACAGAGCAAACAACATAGCAAGGCATTTGTGACATTCACAAACTATTTTTAAATGACACCTATTTAAATGTTACTTAATGAGTTTTATTTTCTTAAGAAAGCATTATAACTGAATAGAATTTCATACTAAAGCCATTAAAATAGCAAAAATTCCTGTGAGGAGACTGGGCTGGTTGCCCTGCTCAGTTTCCTACTCTGTTTTCTCTCCCTGTGCCCTGCCACTTGGGCTTTCATCTATGCTCAGACCGGTGTTCAAATGGCCTTGGCAGTGGGGAGGGATTCGTAGGAGACTAGTCACCATCACTCTCACTTGAACTGCCACTCTCAGAAGACTCACTACTGTCGTCCCTTTTAGAGGAGTTAAAACTTCTGTTGGAATGGGATTTTCTGTAACCCCAGGAGCCTCTCCTTTGTGACATTCCCTTACTCCGTGTGGAATTATTTTGTCCATGGGGTCCATAATGGTTTTTTCTGCTATGTGTTATTATATTCCTCTCATTATTGGGGCCATTGTAGGAACCCATTTCATTATCAAGACCATGAGAAGGAATCAGCAGGCCCTGACTTTTACCCTGACTAGAAAATCTTTGTTTTTCACTTAAGGTTACTTGGTTCCTATTAGATTGTTCTGTACTTTTTCTAGAACTTGCTTTGCCACTTTTAGGAATTTCATTGTAACTGGCACTTTCACTGGCATCTCTGCCACCTACTGTCACTTTCTCTTTTGAAGGCACATTCAGATAATGAAGCTCTACTTTCCCTTGGTGAGCATTCTGGCTGCTGGCATCCACTCTATTTCCTTCTTTCCCAGGGAGTTCCCTAAAACTGGTGCTGCCTATGATGTCATTACTGCTGTCTACAAGGCTCACATCAACACCTGCCTCTTTGGCTCCGATGGCATTTCTACCATGTCCTTCTCGCTCTGGGATCTCGTTATAACCTGGCCCTCCCATGACAGGGTTCCTAGTCTCAGCTTCACCTGGGCCTGAAAGTCCTGTTTGAATATCTGTACTTTCTAGGTCAGGATCCATAGCTCCTCCTTTGCCATGAATGTCGTTAAAAGGTTGACCATCCCCACTGAAAGGAGAAATGTCATTGTCACCTCTCTCCTGAAGATCTGTGTAACCACTGCCTTCAAAGTCACTGGGGACTTTTTGGATCTTGGGGAGACGTTTCAGGTGGTAAGCATTGCGTCTGATGTGACGGGTGCTCTTGCTTTTTACTGGGCTATTCTGGGCTGGGGGAGCTCCTTGATCGTTCTTTTTATCTTTTGAATGGGTTTTAGCATAGTGGACACCTGCTGGCATTTTGCCTAAAACATTCTTAGGTTTCTTCTTGTGTTCTTCCCGCCACAGTTCAGCCACAGTCACTGGCCTCATCACCTGCTGCCTGTTATTTCTTCTGAGAGCTGCACCATATTCTTCTTGGTCACGTAGCTTGCTCACGGTGTCATCTCCATCCTCAGTCCCTGTCTTCCCAGTGGAGTGAGAGTACATGGACATCATTAGGTCATCGTAGGCATTCCCTTCATATCGGATACCATAGTCGTCATTTGGTGTCGGTCTAGTTGAAGAAAGATTTGAGAATTCACTACTTCGGTTATTGTCATTGACTTCAAAAAGGAACAAATCATCCTCCCTTTCCTGGATAATATTTTCTTGCGGTGTTTGCTCTTGATTTCTTCCCTTGTCGAAATGATGAAGTGCAATATTGTCTTTGCTTTTTTCTTCCTGCTAAAGTATAATTTTCAGCATGATTATTTTATGTAAAACTTTAAAATCTGATAAATCTTAGACAATATTTTAAAAAACCTAGCAATCATATTCTTAACAAAAAGTGTATTAGCTCAATAGGGGTTTATTGATAGAGACCCTGGAATGGACCTATGCAGGTTTCACAGAGAAAGAAAAAAAGTGCAAGGCTTGATGGATGGGTAAAATGCAGAAGGGCGATGGTGAGACTAGTTCAAGGGTAAGTGGCAGAGTCAATTGTTTGGAAATAGGAAATAGTTAAACATAGTATCAATAAATGTATATGGCTGGAGTGGCAAAATCCTAAAAAGGAGAAAAAGAAATAATTTGGAAATGTAGATCGGGGGCAGAGTCGGATGGAGGACCTGAATTTAAGAAGGTGATTAAAGAGCATGATATTTGTGTAGTGAGCAGTGAGTCCTTAAAAGTGAAATGAATTTCATGTTTTTAAATTCATTATTTTCCTCTCTCTTTAGCCCTCCCCCTTTGCCTTGCTCATCAGAGGTAGTCATTTGCCTAAAGTACAATTTTTCTTTTCTTATGAAAAAAATTCTGTAAATAAGAGATTTTAAGTAATACTCAGCTTCTGACTTTCAAACAAAAGATTTTGGACATGTCTGCAATCCCAGCTACTCAAGAGGCAGAAATCAGGAGAATCTTGGTTTAAGCTTCAAGGCCATCCTCGTAAAAAAGTTAGTGAGACTCTATCTCAGCAAACAAACTGGGTGTGGTGGTGCACTTCTATAATTCCAGCTATGCAAAAGGTATAGGTAGGAGGATCACAGTCTGAAGCCTATCCTAGGCAAAAACATGAGACTCTATCCAAAAAGATAAATAAAGCAAAAAAGGGGTGGAAGTGGGAGTCAAGTGGTAGAGTGCCTGCCTACTTCCTACCAGTACCATGTATATGTATACACATGTATATGTATCTACATATGTGTAGATACATATATAAATGCATATATAATATATGTCAAAAAGTTTTGAAATTCCACCTGTTTTATAAGAATTCATTAATTTTCTTTTCTAATGAGCTAGATTAAGAGTTCTCAAATGAGCATTTACCAGAATCATTTGGAAGGCTTGCGAAAACAAAGATTGTGGGGCCCCTTGGCCAGGGTTTCCCACTCTGTGTGTCTGGAGTGAGACTCTGGAATTTATATTTATGGCAAAGCTGTCAGATGATCTGAAGCTGCTGACCTAGGGACCACACTGTGAGACCTTCTGTTACAGACCATAAGTTTTAGTAACAGAGCTCCTGGAGAGAAAAGTCCCCGAGAGGAAGATGGATGGAAAGAGAAAGTGGAGGACAGGGGAGTGGTTGTGCCTGTGTCTCTCTCCTAGTTGTGGGGAGGCTCTGTGAGTCCACTGCTCCATAGTCTGTGCTTTGCCTCACTGGGAGCAGCCAGGTTTCTGGAAGCTTGGCTGCACTATGAGTCAAGAAGAAAGGGGCTGAACTCACTCTGCCCCTTTTAGCTCACCATTTCCCTGAGTACCTGAGAGTCTGTTCTGGAACTTTCCAGGGTGTTCCCACATAAGGATGAGGTGGCTGTAAGAGGAGCAACGTAGACAGAGTGCATACTATTGGGACAAATGTGAATCATACTCAAGCAAGAAGAGGATTAAATTGCCTGTGAGAACCAAGAGAAGTGAATGGCCGCTGGGCCCCCATGGGGACTATGTTGATTGGATCCTAAACTATAGTGGGCTGTGACTTCCTCTTAAGATGCCAGCCAGGCAAGCATCACACAAGTGGTCAGCAACATTGCTCCATGCTGTCTGGACTTCCAAGTCTTCCCCTCCCATATGGCATGTTTATACAGATTGTATAGGACATGTAGTGGGTGGTATAGGTCACACCTGATGCCACCTTAGAGAAAGAGGGTTCTTTATCTAAAAGAGCTGAAAGACTTAAAGTACTACTTAAATTGTCAGACAGTCTTAAGTTTAGGCAGGCTGAAGTGAACTTATGCCTCCTCCCTCCATTAACTCACATTAACTGTAAATAGATAAAGGCCTTACTGACTTTCCACCCCCACCCCTGCTGTAGTATGATGTCGAATTTACAAAATCCAAATAAGAGATACTTGTTGAGGAACCAAGATGAGTATGAAATTGGCCAAGTGCTACATGGAAGAAGATGACTTTTTGAAAGGCAAAGGCAGGTGTCCTGCAGGTGTTCGGAGGGGTGACACGTGCAGTTCTCTCTTGTTAGGTCACTGTGTTAAGAACCAGCATCTGACTATGGAGTCCTTTAGCTTGTGGGGTCCTGTGTCACCACTCAGACTGTGATATGGCCTAATTACTACCCTCCTCACCTGTTTTCACTAACACAGCTTAATTTGGTCTTGTCTTTTTGGGCCACACTTCAGCCTTGTGGCTCGTGTTGAGCACGTGAACATCTTCTTGCTTGTGTTAATTAAGGATGTGAAAGTAGATGAGAGCTGTCAGACTGAGAAAAAGAGGAGTCAGCCGGAAGCTCCTGCATTTGGAGCAAGTGTGCAGAAAAATAGCAAAGAAAAGAGTGCAATTAGATTCAGAGAGGCCAGAATCACAGGAAGTAGCAAGCAAGAGGTGTCAAATGGTTTTTCTTAATCCCTCAGCCTGGGATTAAAATTAGCTGTGCTAGGTCAGCTTCCCAGCTGTGCCAGGCATGTGATCTTGGGAGCCTTATTTTATCTCTTTGCACATCAGCCTTTTTAGCTGTAAAATAATAAAAGGATACCTCTTGGGATTAGTGAGAGAATTGAATGATTTTATTAAATAATATAATGCATGTAAAGCACCTAGTGCAATGTCTATCATCAAACAAGTTCTAGATGAAAAAGAGTAACTATTACTTCATTCAGAAGGGCAGAGCCTCCTATGAAATGATAGGGTGTTTTCCTACATAATGTTAATGATAGCTGTTTGATTGTAGCATGCATAACTGATCTCTCAGTGGCTAGAGCTATCTAACATGGTTGTAGTGGCAGGGGAAAATAAGCTCATTCTGGACCCCTCTGCCCATGTACTGTCCAAATGTTGCCTTCTGGCTGCAGGTTCTGCAGGCTTGTGGCCCCTGGTGACATTGTCTCTCTCTCTCTCTCTCTCTCTCTCCCCGCCCCCCAAATTGGAATATAGGAATAGTGGAGACAGTGTGGAAACTGTTAATCAGCTGATGCTTGAAGCTTAGGAAGCTCATGCCACCCTTCTGTAAGTGCCAGCTTACACTGATTGTAAGATATAATTTGAAATGATTTATTTGTGGAAGTTATGACACCTTTATTCACTAATTTTTATATTGTCAGGTGTACTCTGAAAATAGATAAGAATTTGCTATGAAAAAATAGAAACTTCATAGAGGGCTCTTCTGAATAAAAAGTGATTTAAGCTTTTGGCTTTAAGTTACTGGGTACTGGAAATGGAGTATAATAGTCGCATCGTGACTTTTTTCTCCCTACCCTGAAGTGCAAAGTTTTGTTTTATTTTTAGTGCTTTTACTAGTTTTAAAGATTGGGCTAGGGACATGACTCAAGTTTAGTATTGAATAGCTGCCTAGCAAGCTCAAGGCCCTGAGTTCACAACCCAGTACAGCACACACACACACACACACACACACACATATACATTTCGCTAGAAGCTTGAATAGATTTCTTTTATAAAGAAAAACCTGCAAAACACGTCCTCTCTGGGGGTTGGCACTAGTGGGAGTGGGAGGATGTAAGGAAAGGGTGTGGGAGGATTAATATGGTGGAAATACTATGTACTCATTATGAAAAGGAAAAATGAGACCTGCTGAAACTGTTTTAGGATGAGGGAAGAGGGGATAAAGGGGAAAGATGGAAGGGTGAATTCAACTATGATATATTGTAAGAAGTTTTACAAATGCCACAATGTACCCCCAGTATGACAATAAAAAGCAATTTTAAAAAAGAAAAACATGAAACTTTTTAAACTGGGGGTTGAACCAGGGCTTCCTGCTTGCTAAGCAAGCATTCTACCCCTTGAGCCCAAACCTGTTTTTTGTTTTCTTGTTTTGTTTTGGTTTTTTTTTTTGGATGTTTTGGTTTTTTGTGTGTTTGGGTTAGGATATCATTAACTTTGGGCTGATATCGAACTAGCAGTTCTCCTACCTTCACCTTCTGAGTAACAGGGATGGAACTACAGGTGTGTACCACAGTGCTGTGCTGAATTTTTAAACTGTGGTATGTAACAGTTAACCATGTGTTGGAGAAAATATTAAAAAGTAGAAAACCCTTTCTTTTTTACATTTGCTTATGTTATGTGATTTCTAGTCGTGTCATTGACTATATGATGATGGTCTGAGTCAGTTGGCTGTTCTGCTTCCCTGTGCTCTGCTTTTCCATTTCCATGTTTTTGTTCCTGGTATTTTTTCTTAGAGAACGGCCTCTCCCACTCACTTCTGTTTCCTCAAATCTGATTCATCTTCCAAGTGCTGGTTCAATACTTCCATATGTAGCTTTCCCTCAGTACTAACCATGAACTAATTTCTTTCTACTCCAACTCCCTGAAGCATGATTTTTTTGGGGGGTCACAACTCACATGGTCCTATCCCCATTCTGTCTTGTGTTCCAATGATTTTTGCAAGTGCCTTTTATTTGTTTTCTAACTCTAAGACCCTAAAGAGAAAGAATTAAGTTTGCTCAGTCATATTATTTCACATAATATTTTATACAATTGAAAGAGTCAACATATATGATCACAACAAATAAGTTTTAACTAATTTTAACAGGCAGTTACATGCAGCCATGTAAAGGATATTGAGCAGAAGAAAATAGCATTCTAAAGGGAATCTCTGACTTCCACGGGAAGTGAAGATACACTTGGAAAAGCAAATAGTCTCTTGGCTGATGGTATTAGAAGCTGTTTCCTGCCCTTGGGGCAATGACTGTGCAAGAAGAGACTGAATAAAAAGAATTATTGTAATCCCAGTAACAAAGGCCTCATTCTTTCTCTTCTGAGCATCCCAACATAGATGCAGTCATCTGTGGAATGAATTTAAGATGCACTAAACTGTGTAATCTTTTACCTTTCTTTCCCTGGTGAAATCCCACCATTAGAGAAAATGGTAAGATATGCCTGGAAATTTCCCTCATAAAAAAACCTAATATCCTTCAGATGAAACACCTCAGCAATCCATGGGCATCTGGGAGTCCCACAAAATCCACACCTGCAGTAGAGGGTCCTGAAGCACAGCAGAATTTGGAGCAGAGTATGGGGCGGGGTCAGGAAAAATTCTGGAACACAGAGCTGCATAGTAGGGAGGCTTAATGAACCTGGGAATGTGAGGCAATGGAGCACCAGCTACAGATGGAAACCCCAGAGCAGGCAAAGACAAATTTTGTCTCCCCTACAATGTCCCCAGGGGTTAGTCCATTGTGTTAAAGGACCTTCCCTCAAAGATACAGCTTACCTTTATGTCACTTTGATTTTTCTTCCCTGGTGACGTGTACACACACTTAAAAATATAAAGCCCATGTTTTTCATGATGGCTCTTATCCATTGTCTACAAAAACACAACACTGTATTAAAGTGGGTTTGTCTGTTACTAAGATTTTTTCTATATTTCTTTCCAATAGTATATGACTTAAGGAGAAGTTGAATTCTGCCTCTGAAAAGGGTAGTACTTCGTATGACCACAGGAGGGGTGTGTCAGCCAGCTTCTGAACACTGTCCCTTCTCTCTACACATCTCCAGATAAGTCTTCCCTCAATGTGACTGTCAATTGCTTCTCATCCCAACGAGTATCAATTTTGCAGCCAAATTTCAATGCAAATGGAACAATGGAAATAGGTTCATGTGGGAGAGGTGAGGAGGTTAGGAGAAAGGCGGGTTTCACAAAATTCCTGTCTGATGTTCAGTTGGCAAAACACAGCATGAGCAGTCTATTAACAGTTTGCAGTCTGGGCCTTTGAAATTTTCAGCTAAGATGAAGGACAGAAGATTGTTAGTTCTTAGAACAGAATTTTTCAAGACTGCCAGGAAGAACGGTGCAGGCAGATGTAATTTGGTGGCATGCAATCTGAGAGTATTTGCTTAATTTTCTGGATGCATATGGCAAATTAATTCCATGTAAATGGAATTCCCCATTAAGACCTGTTAACTACTTTTATTGCCCCCTAATTTATCAGTTTGCTCTCACGTGCACATGTGGGGATATTGTTTGCTAATACAATATCTCAGAATTGCTATTCATCTATTCCTCTGAAAGTTGCCTAGAAAACCATTTTTTTTCATTTGAAGGAAGAAATCGTGGTGAAGAGAAATATCTCCATTTGGAATGTCTTCCTTCTTTTCTATCACACATTGTATGAATTATAAAACTTGATTAGTTGTAATATGCCACAATTCTGTTGTAATATGCCACAATTCTGTTGAATAATTTTTACACTTCCTTTCTAAGTACCAAAGAATATTTTGGCAGTTAAGATTTTCTTATTGACTTTTTTCTTTACAGAGCCAAAATAGAGTTAATTTGAGAAGAATAATTCTGTTTACCTTCTGTTCTTCCACATAGCCTTGACTAGTCTTCACAGTCTGTGGTTGAAGTGTCTGCAAGGAAATAAGGGACACGACTTCACCAAATAGAACATTCTTTAATTCATTTCTTCAAACAACAAATGTTTCCTTTATTTTTCATTTACTGAGTTGTGTTATTAAATGTGGAAAATCATTCTGACCAAAAGATGGATTCTTTCATTTGTTCCTGAGTGTTAAGAAAGAGATCTACCAGAGGTCAACAGCAGCATCTCCACTATAGAATCATATTCCAGCACAGAGAACCACCACATGGCACATGGCACTCCAGGTGAGGTGGCTTGGTGGCCATGTAAAAAGAAGTTTTCACTGGCAAACTGAAGATGTTGGGTATAAAGCAAACTAAACTCCAAGTTCAGTGATGTGGACTGTGTGTGTGCATTGAGGGAGTAAATTCAGCCATTGTTATTTTGAATTTAGAGATGATGGTGCTGATGGTACAGGAAGAGTCAAATCATAGCCCTGCATAAAGGATGCACCCAGTGATGGGTCCTCAGCTTGCCAATCACTTGGCTGGACATTTTGTTCAGGGAACGGAGAATGGAGGTGGCCAGTGATTTGGAACAAATGCCTTCTCTTGAATTGACCTGAAAGTATCAAATTTTCTCAAGGGCTCCTGGAGGTGAGGGGTCACTACTGAAGTTGAGAAAGACCAGAAACTACAAAGAAATAGGTCCAGGTAGCTGATCCAGGCCTTTACCCAGTGTGCCTCCTCAGGGCACACAGAACGGCACATAAGAATTCTGAAGCAAGTTTTCTGTGAAGGAAGCAAAAGTGTAACAACGCTTTAATTCTCAGTATTTTTATTTCCCTGTTTCTTTTTGATACTCCTAGCTAGTGCTCATGTGGCCAGAGAAACCAATGAGTAGAACACATTTGCATTTCCGTGTGTGTTGAAGTGGAGGCAGGCATCATGGTGGATCAGTCATAGAGGAGAGAGAAGCCTTAGGAAAAGATTTAAAAAAGAAGTAAATAGTCAGAGGGTTACCTAGTCCGCGATCCTATTCACCGAGCAAGTGTTTTTCTTGAATTAATGTTAAAGTCATGGATTTTTTGTTTTTCTGACTGGACTCTGATTGATGACATCATATTAGAAATATAAACTTGGAAGTTTAGTAAAAGTACCCCATTGCCTGAACTCTAAGATATAGCTGCTTAATATTCCATTTCATTCTAGAAACTAACAAGAGTTTATCAATGATACCTTGTATTTATAGAACATGCTATATTTATACAGCACTTTACAGTTTGTAAACTACTTTTTCATAGAAATCTCATTTGAGTCCTATAGTAACCCCTGTGAGACTAGTGGTAGGAGAAACAAAATTGCCTGCACACGCACACAGCTGGCAGTGGTAGAAGTAAAGGAAATATTTTAACCTGAATCCTATGTCAAAGTCTGAGGATTAAAGTAGTAACAGTTAAAGTAGTCGCATTTGAAAGAACACTTACTAATAAAAGGATATGTTTCTGAAGTTTTATTAAATGTCTTCAAGATTATTTTATAATTTCTTTATATATTGTGTTTCTTATGTTGGTTCTCATAGGATCTTGTGCATATAAATTTAGATCATTGTATCATTCTTCACTCATAACAAAACAGAGAAAATAGTTCTGGAAATGAGGCCATAAGAAGAAGAAAGTAGAAAGATGAGGTGAATACTAAGAAAAATAAAGAAATGAAAGTATGGGCATCTTCATACAGAACACACATGTGCACTCACACATATGTCTTATCTACATATTAAAAAATACACTTGACAATATAGAGTGTCCTAGTACAGTTCATGACTTATTGTGACTTAGAACAGTCTTTATAGTCTAACTGCATATTGATGAATAGTAATTGAACTGCATGTCTTCATAATCATCTTTTATTGTCTCACATTTTAAAATGGATACTTGGCTATAATTTTAAGACATATAAGTGACAGTATATACTAGTTTTTACTATTTACTACTTAATAAAATGGAATCTATACATATGGAGAAAACATCACGTTAACCATTGACAATGCCAAATTTTGCCTCTCTGCCCTTGTTGAGATCTTCATTTGAAATCTGCTCCCCTGACACCCACTTGGCCATTGTCCTGGCCTTCAATGTGGTCCTGAAACCGACATGACATCGTCTGCCTCTGAAAGGAAAGCTGGCACCCTCTTTTGACCAGTGGTCACTGGATTGATGTTGACACAACACTTTACTGGAAAATGGTCAGGAAGAACCAATCCAGCTGTTCCCTGGAATGTGTTGTTCAAAATAAATTCATCCACAGCTGGTCAGATTGAACTGGGTCAGCAAGACCCACACTCCCACCATCCTGCCCCAGTGTGTGTCTCTGCGGTCCTGATTAAGCTAGGTCATGTGGATTGGACTTGAAAGATGTCTGTTTTAAGCAGTGCAGTCCCGAGACTATGTGAGAATGTGTGCTGCCGTGAGTTGGGGTGAGGATGCTTTTCCCAACTTCTGTGTCCTCACCAAATGTTATGGTTCATTCTTGTCAGTCTGGTTACCCAACTGGTCGCCCACTTGCTCAGGACCTATATTTAAGCAAAGTTGGCAATAGTTGTTCCCATGGTTCTTCAACCAGAAAGGTTACTCTGAGGAGCTAGGACACTGCTGAGACACTATCTAATTAGCACTGTGTCTGCATTGCAGAAAATGTCTGTAGTGCTCAGCATTGTCACAGGATAATTTGGTCACATCCTGAACACTCATCTGGGTGAGTCAGAAAAAGAAAGAAGACACAAAGGCAATAGGAGCTTGATTTGGGTGAAATTCATGGGTTCTACTTCTATCTTTAGCCTTACTGATGAAGAGAACCTCATTAGGAGGATTCCATAGTACTGAGATACTGCAAAAATACAGAAGCACTCTCGTCCCTCTGTATTGTCATTTATTTACAAAGTGGGTTAGCTTTAATATATTAATATCAAATTCTTGAAGTTTGTAATAAAATATCAACAGGTTCTTTTGATGTGTAATAATATAAGTCTTTGAGTCTTACTCATTAGTCTCAGCTGACTTCAAACATTGCGGCTGGCTATCGGTTTTCTCAAAAGTAATGTTTTCAGTGTTCCTTAAAAGGCAACAGAGTGGTATATTGTAACTCGGCTCATTTATTGAGGCCTCCTTAACTGTAGGCATCTGGATTAAGTGCTAGATGCTTTCTATTTGCTTTGATATTTTATTGTAACTGAATTAGAAAAATGCTACTAGTTAAAATAGACATTCTAAGAGAGAGAGAGAGAGAGAGAGAGAGAGAGAGAGAGAGAGAGAGAGAGAGAGAGAGAGAAACTTATATGAAACACTAGTGAATTTGTAAATGCTTACCGGTGCTGCCCAGGTCACACTGAGAAGGAGCAGTCCTACGTAGACAGCCTGCATCTTTGTGAATCTCTGTGAAAATACAGCAGTATCTTACCCTAATGCACTGCCAATGATGAATTGCAGCTATAAAAAACGCAGAGATATATACAAGCATTCTCCCTACCAGTGGTCCATTTCCTTTGAGTAAATATACTTATTTTATATGTTATATCAATAAGGTTAGTATGTATATATAAATATTTTTGCATAATTTACTTATATCCAAGTGTGGCTATTTTAATCTAACTTTCGTATATCTTGTTATATTAATGTGAAAGTGAAAACTATTGAATATAATTAAAATAATAGTAAATAGAAATGAACTTTATAGATACATTTATTTGCTGTGTTGTCAGTCCTACATTTTTCCTCTTGTCTTTAGAAAGACATCATTAAGTATTTGTGTAATTCAAAGCTACAGTAATTTAACATAGCATCTCATAACAGATTCTTTAAGTGGGTCAAGGTGGCAGAAACCACTGTGGGGAATGAAGTCTTTTCTGGTTCCAGGCTGGTGCCCCAATATGTGTCCTCATATTCATTACCAATGTGTCTGAATTGTCACCACAGGGAGCTGGAGAATGACACAATTTATGTAATACTTATACTAAGAGCTAGTATTTATTAAACATTGAAAGGAGCCTCACACTGCTGTATGAATTTTACATGTATTTAATTACTTGAACCTCACAAGAACCAGATGAGCCTGGAAGCACCATGTGTCTGTTTTATAGATACAAACAGAAGTATCAAATAAGTTTCCCAGAGCTCACAGATACTAAGGACAGAACTGGGATTGGTATCCAGGCCATGAGACAATAGAACTAGCATTCTTAGCCCAGGATCTATGCCATCTCAAGTGAGGTTCGTTCTTTTGTCTTCTTAGAGAAATACCTACATGTAGTTGACTTAAAGACAAAGCATATTTTGTATGGGGCTCAACAAAACTGTGTTTAAAATGCAACATTCAGTTATGGATGAAAGTACACATTTACAGTTTCAGAAGTATATTAACACTATCTACTTAAGTAGTAACCAGATTTTTAAAAATGCCAACAGAGCTTTGGACTAACATTTGGACTTTTGGTTTTGATGGCATTAAATACTTTACTAACTGCCAGATAGACGTGTAGTAACCAGTATGAAAATAAAAAATTTATATTGTTCTTTGTAAGTACTTGGGGGAAAACACTTTTAATGGGAAAAGTAACTTAAATATTCTTTCAATCTTCAAACATTTCAAAGTAAAAACTTTAACTTGGAGAGATAAATAAGAGTAGTAAATATATTCTGAAATCCTAGGTTATTTTCATCTAAACTAATGCAATGTTAATTCAAACTATAATTAAACCTTCTGAGCATTTTATAGATCAGGACAACAGAAGTTCAGTTATGAAATAAATTAATGATGGTCAGTAAACTATTTAGCATAGATAAGGTTTGAAGATACAAATGTGATTAGGTTCTCCTGTTTCTGGTTTGCAAACTGCTTTGTGAAAATATAGAGTAAAATTATAGTAGTTGAGTTCCTGTGGATCTTGAAACTGCCGATAGTCAAGTCAAAGGGAAAGTTGCTGCCACTTTCAACTTTAGTTGACGATTTTTAGAGTTGGCAGCACACTTCCTGTTTTATAAAACAGAGTACTGAATATTATGGTAGAAGATATTTTCAATTTGCATTTCTTTCCACTAACAATATCCTGCTCAGTGTAGCAAACACCTTGAAAACATGAACAGACAACTATGACATCAACTTATTTGCTATGGAGAGCCAAATTACCTGGTGTCCTTTACCTTCAGGAGACCTGGCTTCTTCTGCTGGATTAGCAGTCTCTGGGCATTTTGCTGAAATTTAAAGATTGCCAGTGCTCCTGATGTCCAATCAGCACTGGCCCACTTAGCACCAGCAAACAATTTGTCACGAATGCCCACAGATAACCACAGGGGCAAAGTAATTTTAACCTAAAAATGTTTTTGTGGTGGAAAGCTGCTATCAAATGTTCCAGAAAGTGGAAAAAACAGAAAATATAAATATTCCAATTCACACACCATGTTGTCAGGTAATTAGAATTGATTTCAGAACTATTAATTATGACTAACTGGCGGCCTAACAACTTTAAAAACAATAATGGGCCTTTTTAAACTATCAAGCTTATAAATGGAAGAATACTTTTGTATTGTTTTAGGTAGAAAGTTTATAATCTCAATTGTGTCTGAATGAAATTCATAAGCATTTAACAACAAATATTTAGAGTACTTTCTATGTGGTAGGCACTAGCGAAACAATAATGAACACAACAGAAAATCCCTGCCTTCATAGAGCTCACAATGCAGTGGAGGAGACAGACAATAAAGAAAGGTAACATGTTATGTGAGACAGTGACATAGGTGAAGTCTAAAGAGAAGTATTTCAGGAAGGGAGACAAGGATTGGGTGTAAGGAAAGTTTAGTTAGGGAGTCCTGAGAAGACCTGACTAAGAAGGTGACTTTGAGTAAAGACTTTGCTAGTGTTTGAATGTACATGTCCCTCCAAAATCCGTATGTTGGGACTTACACCTCAATGTGATATTACTAAGATATAGGGATGTAGAGGTAATTAGTTCATGAAGGCAGAACCTCATGAAAGTGATTAGCAATCACATAAAAGGACTGGAGGGAATGACTTAGGCCCTTTTTACGTTTCCTCTTTTCTACCATGTGAGAATACACTATTTTTCTTTTGGAGGATGAAGTAGTAAGTCACTACCTTGGAAACAGAGGTAACCAGCCCCCTAGACACTAAACTTTCCAACCCCTTGATCTTGGACTCCTCAACCTCCAGAACTGTGAGAAATAAATTTATGTTTTTTTAAATTATCCAGTCTGTGGTAATATGTGATAGGAGCAGGAACTGACTAAGACAGACTGCAGCCACATGGCTATCAACAGGAAGAACATTCTAGGCAGAAGGAGAGGAAAGCAGGGCTTCAGAAACAAGAACCTGCTGGCTTGTTCTAGAGACAGAGAAGCCAATTTGGCTGGAGGGACCAAGCAAGGGGAAACAGCAGCAAATACTGTCAGAAAGAAATTATGGAGCCTGGAGGTCTTGCAGGGTTTTGATTTACCCTAAGAGAGAAAGAAAGCCACTGAAAGATTTGTACAGAGAGCTGGAAGGAGTAAATGAAGAGGAGCAGTGCGAAGAGAACAGTATGAAATCTCTTGTATAATCTGAGCAAAAGCCAATGGGGTTTGAACCAAAGTGGCAGAAGGATGGTGAGAAATAGTCATATTCTGAGTGTATTTTGAAAGGAAAGTCAGCTACTATACCACGTGTAGGCTGTCAGAGAAAATCAGGAGTCAAGATGACACCCATGTATTTGTCCTGCATCAGGAAGAATGAGCTGCTTTTTATTGATGTGAGAAAATATGCAGAAGAAAATAGTTTTGAAGAAGATATTGTTTGCATTTGGGCATGAATTTTATAAAATGGTTAATCTAAAGCAATAAATTAATTTTTATTTATCTTTTTTTTTGGTTGTGTGCTAAGCAGGTGCTCTACCACTGAGCTATCCCCTGCCCCCAGCCCAAGAGCTGATTACCTGGGCATCTTTGCCAGTTTGGTTCTGGTTGGGTTTGGGCCTATAGGAGATCAAGGAGTGAGGGAGGGAGTGGCTAGGGTGTTCCTTCCCTGCCCCTTCCCTGCTTCAATACTCATGAGATGCTCATCCTGAATCCTTCCAGGAGCCCATTCCTGTGAGCATAGCCCCTCTCCATGGTTCTGGTTCTCACACATTTCCTAGCCCCTGAGAACCTATCATTCTTCCTTTCTTTATTTTTAAAATTATTATTATTATTGTGCTGAGTGGGGGGTACATTGTAGTATTTACAAAGGTTCTTACAATGTATCAACAATATCATTCTTGAATTCACCCCCTCCACTACTCCACTTTATCCCCCTTCCTCATTCATGGAATAGTTACAACAGTTATCATTATTACAATTACATGCATGTGTACACATTTTTTGGACCATATCGACCCTCGTACTCCCTTTCCCCACCAGCTCCCCACTCCTACTGGTGAGGGGCCACTGATTCACAACCATTCAACCCTGAATTTTAGAATATTTGAACCTTATCATTTATAAAGGAAACATTTAACTTTAGCAACTTTGATGACTGAGTTCAAATCCTGATTCTACTGTGTATTTACTGTGATAAATTGCTAAGACAATTAAATTGAACTTTTCTATGCCCCATTTTCTACTTCTGAAAATGAGAGGATAGTAAGTTAAAATTTCAATGAGTGATTACTGTGATGCAAACATTGTTCTTAATGTGCTGCATCAATTTGTATCTTTATAACAAGTGTGTAATAGGTACTATTACCATGTTGATTTTAGTAATGAGGTGTAAAGCACTTGAGAAGCTTTCCTAAAGTCACATACTTAGTGAGGAGAAAAACCAGAAATTGTAGCTTGGCAATTAGAGTCCGAAGTACAGTTTTGAAACCACTGCACTATACTGTCACATAGGTTGGTATAAACACTGAGCCAACACATTCTATGATGGAGGGGTGAATTCAACTCTGATATGTTTGATATATTGTAAGAACTTTTGTAAATGCCACAATGTACCCCCAGAATGATAAAAAAAAATTTTAATTACAAAAAAGTACATTCTACAAGATGCTTAATCCACTGTCTAACTTTATATTTAAATGATAAGTAGCTATTCATCCTTCCCTTCTTCTCATCAGTAATGATAACCTGGCACTTAGGTGAAGCTTGCGTCCTTCTGTATCTCCTTTCTGTCCTCTATTGATTTTCTTCCATGTCTTGTATGATTTATTTAATTTGACAGCAAATCAATGAGACTATGAAAAAAAATAATAGGATGAAAATTTAAGAGAACACAGGTGTCTGTTTTGCTAGGCATCATAAATGTTAATACCTAGAATTTTAGCAACTTTCTAAGGATTTGGGGGATAATGGAAAAAGGATGGTAAGGAAATGGAAGTCAAGAAAAGAAAGACAACAGCCACATGTATTCAGTCACTGAGACTGAACCAAAATATATACAGTAGACAGGTGTGAAAACCACAAAATGTTCATTTTGAACTTTCAATATTCTATTAGGTCAATGAAATTTCTACAATTAACAAGTTAGGAGTGTTTTAAGCTTTTGCATTGCTCAGAACTTTAAATTTACAGTTCTAATGATCCAGGTCAAAGAGTAGGCAGCTGGTTTGTGCTCATATATAGGGATCGCCTTGTATCATGTTTATTGCACTTTTCATTGCTATAATATTATTGCTTCTGATGCTTCTCAAGTGTAATTTACCTTCATTTTTCATTCTTTCAAAAGAATTTTCATGTCTGTGAAAAAGATTTCCCCTTCATTTAAGCAATGGGAAAATAATTCTGTTCTTGTAGAACATTGTGTTAGGAAGAGAAAATTCACAGCTTTTTAAGAGAAAAAAATGGACTTAGCTACTAGTCCAACCAAGGAGTGAAGTGGCAGGAGCTAAATATACATGCTCTTGAAGCTGAAATGAAATCAAAACAAAAAAGAAAAATTCAACTTGTCTTAAATTTAGAACCTACAATTGGCAAGCAAAAATAGTGAGACCCTATCCTGGCTGTTAGACTGCAGAGAAGACACTCTAGGAGTGGGGGAGGCTAGAAGAGTGATCAGTTGCTAAAGTTCTATGAAGTACAAATTTTGCTTCCACCTTCTTGATATTTTCCCCTTGTGTTGAGCTGGAACTTCAAAAATTCAAAAAAAAAATTCCTAAATGTTTTTGTATGAGTTTTCTTGTAACATTTCTTCAGAACCAACAACCAAAGGTAAAGATCAGGGTTCTATTTAAAAAAAAAAAGTTACCTATCCTGACACTATCTTCTTTGTTTAACAGGAAAACAAAACAAAATAAAAATCATCTTATTAAGCAAAATAAGCCAGACTAAGAAAAGCATATATTACACATTTTCTCTCATATGTAACTAAAAAACTAAAGACATGAAAGTATAATGGGACTATTTAAGGAGGCCAACTTGGTGGGGAGGACAAGACAGGGTAATGGAGGAGTAAGTATGATTCAAGTATGTTATGTAAATGTATGAAAAGGTCAAAATGAAAGCCATTAAAATTGTTGTTTTAAAAGACTAGTATGCAACTGAGAAGGGAAGAAACAGACCTTTGAACGTTCTTCCCGTTCTTGGTTTGCAGTAGAAGAATGGATGCCTCCGCCCGTGATGGCCCTCTCCTGGCTTCCCTGGGCCAGGTTGACAGGAAGAAGAGCTCCTCAAAGAGATTTTAGATGAAAGTAGCCCATGGAATTGCGGCTTCTTGTGGTGGCCTTTTCACTTCTCACCTTTGCTTGAGTGTGAACAGTCATTTCAGATGTAGCTAACTATAATCCTACACCGTAAATTCTAGATAGTGGACCCTGACCCACGAGTAAAGGACTTTTGTTCTGTTTTATCTCATCTATTACTGGGACCTTCCACTCAGCTCTTTTGTACTTGTACACTAGACACAAATCTTTGATATATGTTTTTTTTTTCAAATTTAGAATTACAGGAAACCCTTTTTTCCCTCTAGAATTAAGCCCCTGCTTGTTCTTAGCACTATACATAACACATTTCTCTGTCATCATCTTAGATAGTTAGAAGTGAGTATATACCATGTATATTTCCACATGTTCTAAGTAACTGAAATTACTCTGTTTTCTAAGATATATATGAACAGTAAGCAGCAAGTTCCATCCTTGATCTAGTCAGGAATTTTAACAGTGTGGTGAGGTGAACAGAGGGGCCTGTGTAGAGCAAACTTCTCCTTACCATATCCACCCCTAGATTT